AAAATTATTAACAAATCTTATTTTATAATTCCAAAATATTAGTGCGGCGGCGCCCTGTAAATAATAAAGTGATAATCAACAAAAATAAAGTCCATAAATAAAAGTCCTTCTGTAATCACCATGTGAATTAAATCAAAATTGCCAAAAAATCACCACTTGACTGCTTAAATAATTTCTCCAATGTGCCGTGCTCCCCTTCAGGTGTGCACTCACCAAAATTATTTGCCTTCCATTCTAATGGTTGGCAAATGCGCTTTATATATATATATATATATAATATATATATATATATATATGTTCCTCCAGAGTAAAGATGATTTCTCAGATCACAAAACGATTCCTCCCAGGAATGATTCAAATTCTCCAATATATTATTGCCTCTGATGGTAACTCTGCACAAACATCACATAAAAGAAAAAAGATAGAGACAGGACATGGTGCAGTACCATTTAAAATCATTTAATCTCTACCCAAGAATCTCACTTACAAGATAATGGAATAAAACAAGGCCAAATATATGAAAATACCCATGTATCGGTAGTATCAGAGAGAGAAAGACCACAATGCTCTCAATGCTCTCACCACTCCTCGCTCTCGGACAGTCCCGTGTCACTTAGTATGTACAATCGACTCACGGACATGATAATTGGTTGCCACGATCCATCATTACCATTTGCCTTATACGCCCTTAACCTGGCGGAAGTCCTCCACCATTGATACTATAGTGAAGGGCAAACAAAGTTATATATATATTTGTGTGCACTACTCAGATCTATCACTAGAAGTGAGCATGACTTTCAACACCGTTGGGCTTTTACAATAATAATAGCAGACATATTTTAATACATAACCATAAATGATTATTAAAATAAACTACATCATACATGATCATTTAATAAAATAATAATACTAAATAATAATTAAAAGTTTAATCTTAAACAAAAAATGTATATAAAATATATAAAATCAAAAATACCCCCCCCAAAAAAAATAATTAAAAAATTATAAATATATATATATATATATATATAATATATAAATAATTTAAATTTTGGTGATAGTCACAAAATAATTTATTTATAGTACCTGTTGACAGTGTTTCATATGTAGGTTGAGACAGTCATTAACTGTAAAAAAACAGCTGTGTAAGAGGCCTAAAAAATGGGTGAGGAACAGCCAGACTCTGCTACTAAGGTGAGGTTGTGGAAAACAGTTTTATGTCACAGGTCATACACCATAGCAAGACTGAACACAAGCAACAAGACACAAGGTAGTTATACTGCATCAGCAAGGTGTCTCCTAGGCAAATATTTCAAAGCAGAATGGGGTTTCAAGACATGCTGTTCAAGCTCCTGAGCACTTGAGAACTGTAAAAGTAGTTGCCAGCTGAGGAAACTCAATGCAGCAGATGAAAGACACAAAATGCTTGTTTCCCTTCGACACTGGAAGATGCCCAACAGTGCCAAGAGCACAAAATTGGCAGAAACCAGTGGGACCCAGAAACTCTTATCTACTGTCCGGAGAAGTCTAGCCAGAAGTGGTCTTCATGGAAAAATTGTAGCCAAAAGTCATATCTCTGACATGGAAACTAGGCTAAGAACTAAGCTATGCGACTCAACTATGCATGAAAACATAGGAATTGGGGTGCAGAAAAATGGCAGCAGGTGCTCTGGACTGATGAATCAAAATGTTAAATATTTGTCTGTAGCATGAGGTGGTTTGTTTGGTGAATGACTGGAGAGTGGCACAATAATGAGTGTCTGCAGGCAACAGTGAAGCATGGTGGACATTCCTTGCAAGTCTGGGGCTGCATTTCTGCAAACAGAGTTGTAAATTCGGTCAGGATCAATGGTGACCTCTATGTTGAGGATTACAGGCAGATACTGATCCATCATGCTATACCATCAGGGAGGTGTGTGATTGGCCCCAAATGTATTCTGCAGCAGGACAATGACTTAAAACATGCAGCCAGTCTCAATAGGAACTATCTTCAATGTAAAGAAGAGCAAGGAGTACTGGAATTGATGGTGTGGCCCCCACAGAGCCCTGGCATCAACATCATTGAGTCTTTCTGGGATTACATAAAGAAACAGAAGGATTTGAGGCAGCCTACATCCACAGAAAATCTGTGGTTAGTTCTCCAAGATGTCTGGAACAACCTACCTGCTGAGTTCCATCAAAAACAGTGTACAGGTTCTTAGAAGAACTGATGCTGTTTTGAAAGGAAAGGGTGGTCACACCAAATAATGATTTGATTTGGATTCCTCTTCTGTTCATTTACTTTCTGTTTTGTTGCATGATAAAAATAAACTATTAAGGCTTTTTTTTTCTGAAAGCTTTGTAATTTGCAGCATTTTTTCACCTCTACCTAAATCTTTTGCACAGGAGTATATACACTACTCACTAAAAAAATAAATAAAGGAACACTTTTTAATCAGAGTATATCATCAAGTCAATTAAACTCCTTGGATATTAATCTGGTCAGTTAAGTAGCAGAGGGGTTGTTAATCAGTTTCAGCTGCTTTGGTGTTAATGAAATTAACAACAGGTGCACTAGATGGGCAACAATGAGATGACCCCCAAAACAGGAATGGTTTTACAGGTGGAGACCACTGACATTTTTTTCCCTACTCATCGTTTCTGACTGTTTTTCACTAGTTTTGCATTTTGCTAGGGTCAGTGTCACTACTGGTAGCATGAGGCAAAATTTGGACCCTACAGAGGTTGCACAGGCAGTCCAACTCCTCCAGGATGGCACATCAATACGTGCCATTGACAGAAGGTTTGCTGTGTCTCTTAGCACAATCTCAAGAGCATGGAGGAGATTCCAGGAGACAGGCAGTTACTCTAGGAGAGCTGGAAGGGCCGTAGAAGGTCCCTAACCTATCAACAGGACCGATATTTTCTTTTTTTGTGCAAGGAGGAAAAGGATGAACACTGCCAGAGCCCTACAAAATGGCCTCCAGCAGGCCACTGGTGTGAATGTCTCTGGCCAAACAATCAGAAACAGACTTCATGAGGGTGGCCTGAGGGCCCACCATCCTCTAGTGGGCCCTGTGCTCACTGCCTGGCATCATAGAGCTCAATCGGCATTTGCCATTAAACACCAGAATTGGCAGGTCCACCACTGGCGCCCTGTGCTTTTCACAGATGAGATTAGGTTCACCCTGAGCACATGTGACAGACATGAAAGGGTTTGGAGAAGCTATGGAGAACATTATGCTTCCTGTAACATCGTTATTATTCTTGTTATTTTACTTAATTTTTTTTTACTTATTTCATTATAATTTTTTTTTTAAATATTTTTCACATTTTTAGGAGCTTTATTGGGGGGCTTTGGTGAGATATCAGGGGTCTAAACAGACCTCTGATGTTCCACCTTTCAGACAGAGAAAGTAGTTTTGAGGACACCGCCCTCAGTCACCATCTCTGCAGCCTCAACTGCATAGAATGAATGGACAGGAATAACTGTACATAGCTTCCCATTCATTCATAAAGTAAATCATATTAACAAAGTCTACTATGCACTGACTCTATTCATTTAGACAAGAAATGGGCCTGTAAATGACATACAGTATTCACCTGCCCCTTCCCTGCTCTTCACCCTAACATGTCCCCCACAGCAAACAGTGGGAGAGCTGAGGGGGGAACCAGACAAAGCTGCGGGGACAAGGGGGGAGGGGGACCAGGAGAGAGCACAGGGGGCCAGAAGACAGCACAGGGGCCCTGGGGCAGCAGAAAGAAGCTGCCTAGGAGGGGTTTTATGGGTAGCAAATAGAGGAACTGATCCCCTCCATTTTCTTTCTGCAGCTGCTGAACGCCTGTGTGGAGGAGGAAGAGGAGAAGCGGGCTTTTAGGGGCTGCAGGAGGTACATGGAGGGGACTGATTCCTCTATATGCTGCCCCCCCCTCCCCTCCTATCAGGTGTGCAAGGATAGTCACACGGACCCCTTGGTACATTGGCCCAGGTTGCAATTGTGACCCCTGCAACCCCTGTACTTATGCCCCTGGACAGAGTTATGAAATGTATTTCCCACAATCTTTACATCTCTTCTATACTAGGGCCCATATACAGTACATGACTGGTCTTGCTCAGCTTACAGCTCTAACTTTCGGTATGATGTTTCAGTTTTTTCCTACTCTTACAGTATGTGTGAAGGTCTGTGAATCTGCTAGCCTAGCCTGAGGCTAGCAGATTCACAGGCTTGTGATTTGAGGCTAAGACCAATATTCAATGAATACGGATTGGACCTGATGTGATTTCTAGCTCTCTTATTCCTCCATCAGCAGGATACTTGATTCACGCCCAGGGGCTTGGATTCTAAGCAGAAGCACTCGGGATACACAGGCAGCCAGGGGTTTGAATGCTGAGGATAGTATCTGGAACATGCAGCATTGACTATAATACATGCTTTTGTATTTTAGCCTTCTGAAGAGTGCATAGAGGTGGAGGATTGTACACTGCTGGTGACAAGGTGAAGACGTTTTCTTTTTGCACTTTGGGATTTGTTCATCTGGATATACACTATATGAATTGGACACATGTACTGTATATTGGAACACCATTGATTGATTCTTTAATGTATTTTTTATTCATTTATGATATACTGATTTATGTGAAACCTGTCAGACTTAATACATTGGAGGTATCCCCTTTTCTTTTTCTTTTTTATGTTTTGCACCTGTGTGATGGTTGGTGTTTATTTACATGTATTATCTATGTTTTATGACAAAGGGATATTTATTTGAAGCACTGCACTGTGCCTTTTTCCAGTAGTTGTTTTTTTTGCCTGGAGTTCAGGCACCCATTTTTTATTTTATTGTGTATTTTAATTGAATCATTGGATAACACAATTTGTCTGTATCTCTTATTCTAGAGCATCTACAGGAACTTTGCTACAGCAGAAGACATTTAGAATGGAAGGAACATTCACTAATCCAGTTTGCTTGCAGTTTGAAAATGTCTCATTTTTCTGCCAACTGACAGGCCTCTTGTTGTACGTCTTGGGATATATATTTTTCTCACTGGCTGCATAATAATAACAGTCTTTGGAAATTTGGGCATCATTATTTCCATCAGCCATTTCAAAGAATTACATTCCCCAACAAATTTTCTTATTCTTTCCATGGCTGCCACAGACTTCTTTCTTGGTGTCCTCATAATGCCCTGTAGTATGATAAGATCTGTGGAAAGATGTTGGTATTTTGGAAAATTCTTTTGTAAAATCCATTACAGTTTTGACTTAATGCTTAGTGTCATCTCTATTTTCCATCTTTGCTCTATAGCCATTGATAGATTTTATGCTGTATGTGATCCTCTCCACTATCCAATTAAAATCACCACATCTGTCACTAAGAAAATGATATTTATCTGCTGGTCTCTGCCAGCTATGTTTGCTTTTGGAGTTGTCATAACAAATTCCCATGTATCAGGAATAGTTGGATATGAGGCATTAGTGGATTGTTTTAATTTATGTCCAATTACGTTCAACAAATTGTGGTCTGTGATTATGTTTTTTGCATGCTTTTTTATTCCTGGCTCAGTTATGGTTGGAATTTACATACAAATATTCATAGTTTCTCAAAGGCATGCTAACATTCTGAAACAAGTTATGGGGAACTTGAAGGACAAAATGACAACTCAAATTTCCAAGCAGAAGGACCGGAAAGCTGCAAAGACACTGGGCATTGTGATGGGAGTGTTCATATCATGTTGGATGCCAGTGTTTATAACTATTTTAGCTGATCCATTTCTCAACTTTTCCACACCTGAACTTTTATTTGATGCTCTCAATTGGCTTGGCTATATCAATTCAACATGTAACCCGCTAATATATGGATTTTTCTATCCATGGTTTAGGAAATCCCTGAGATACATAATTTTTGGCAAAATATTTGAACCTGACTCTAGCTTAGTAAATCTATCTTAAAGTGTATTTATACCTGCCAAAAAAGTTATATACTTCAGGTTACAAGTAATTAGATGGGTTGGTTTTTTTTTGTTTTGTTTCTGGATTTCTTATTTTATTTTCATCTCAATCCTGCTAGTAACACATAACACATTTCCTGCCCTAGGATAACTATGTTCACTATAGCACATCTGGAAGTAGCAGCACCGAAACTCTAGGACAGAAAATGTGTTACGGCCGCAGAACTCTCTTCTTCTCCATAACATAGGGGGAGGTATTCTGTACTTTTCAAAGGTTAGCTAGTCTTAAAGTCAGAATCCATCTTTTGCATGCCATAAAAATATATAAGTCCATACTGTGCACAGGGAGAGAAAAACAGGCACACATTTAGTACAGCTAAGAAATAGTGTTAGACTATGTGTCAGTTGCCTGAAACTATACACTTCTATGTTTTAGACACTCAAGGTTAGTGTTAGCTATATGCCTGGAAGACTAAGGAACAGTCTTTTGTATTCCGATGAAAAAACAGCTGGGCAAAGAATAATTTAACGGGGCTCTATGTTTATAACCGATACAAGTTAGAGTCTCCTAAGTATAACTCTGAGCAAGGCCCCCCTTGACTTGTAAACTAGGCAGGAAGATAAGACTAACTGAGATAAAACTGCAGAGTGCACAGGACAGCTATTGATTTCTATCAGGACCTACAGCTATTGTTGCACTTGTCAAACAGATATAACACTTTTAATGGTATATTTAAGAGACCAAAGGGGTGCAGAAAGCAATAAAAAAAGGTCTCTTAATTTTGACATGAAGAATCAATATTGGATTTCTTTTATTCAACCGCTTTCCTAGCCAGATTCCCCTTCCCACCCTGCAAGTCATGACTGAAAGGAATGCACACATTATCCAGTGTATGGTGCCAGGATTATCAACTCAGAGGAACCACAAGCATGCATCCACATACAGGTCTTTGTATTAAAAGCTATTTACACTTTATTACAGAAGTATGGTAGTACAAACCAGTTAAGCTCCCTTTTCATGCAGTGGTATTGCGGGCCATGTCTAGCCCTTTATCAAGATAAGAGCAAACTGTAAGTTTGCAGTCTTGACTGATATAAATATACCATTTGTACCAATTTAAGAGCTATCCTGCAATCTCTGCACACTACTTGTGTTATATCAACGAAACGATTAAGCCCTCCTAGTTCTTACCTTGGACCACAGACTGATTCACCTTTATGTTATAGAGATCTAAAAATGGGGGTGCTTAAGTAGTTATCAAAAAATGTTGGGCACGGCTGCTATTCAGTTCACAAAATGCTGTCTTGTCTGCTTACACACAAGTCTTGAAAACTGAGTACATTTTTGGAACACTAACAGGTACTTTTCTGTACATGCAGGGTCTCGAAAGGTGAATGTGCATGTATTCATGGGCGTATTTGGCACGAGGCAAACAAGGCACTTGCCTAGGGCGGCACTTTTCAGGGGGGCAGCGCCGCACCTCGGAAGAAGGGACATCAGTGATGTCACTACAGCACAGGAATCCAGTGAGGAATGGGAGTATCAGGCCGCCCCCTGGACACTGCCATCCTCTGGGATCATCTCTCAGTCCTGGCTCCCCACCACCATCCACTGCGGAGAGCTGCGGGAGCTCCGACCCTCAGAGCAGCCTACGACCTGACATTTGCAGCTTCTCAACAGTGGTATGTGCGGTGGGACATTGCTGATGACTGACCTGGAGGATATCAGTCGGCGCACTGCATGCTGGGAGTTGTAGTCCTTCCCCCGCCTCCAACCAGCCACCTCCACAGGAGCGAACTACAATCCCGGCAGGGTGTGCGGGAGAAGGACTAGAACTCCCAGCATGCAGTGCACCCGACCAGGCTGTAGGCTGTTCTGAGGGTCGGAGCTCTCCACAGTGGATGGCGGTGGGGAGCCAGGGCTGAGTGATGATCCTGGAGGATGGCAGTGTCCAGCGGAGGCAGGGATCTCTGTCACAGAGAGGGAAGGGAAATGCAGCTGTGAGGAGGATACATACCGGCAGTACATGGCACGGTTGGAGGATCTATTTGTGGATAATGCTTCTAATGTAATTGTTTTAATTCATATAATTCTTCTGTTATTAATTTATTTTTCTCTCCCACCTTTTCTTTTTGTCTACCCCTATAGAAATCAGAATACCTCTTATATATGTCTTGTGTGCTTCCCATATCGTAGCAATCGAGACCTTCAGTTTTATTTGACAGAAAGTAGAGCTCTACAGCACAGGCATTGCTCTATTTCCCTTTTTAATCTTATTTCTGTCTCTTGATCTTGTAAGAGTGTCTCGTTTAATTTCCACATACTTGTCCTATTCCATTCCCCTTCTAAGTGCAACTTCATTGTGACAGGGGCATGATCTGATATTGATATAACATCAATGTCAACTTTAACTAATGACTCCAGAAGTCTATGTTCTACCATTCTATAATCAAATCTTAAGTACATTTTATACACAGGAGAATAGAATGTATTGTCTCTTTCTCCTGGATGCTTAATCCTCCAGAAGTTCAGCAGCTGACACTGATGTAACATCTTTTTAATAGATTGTAAACGTTTATCTACTTCTCTTTGTCTTTGTGAAGATGTATCTATCTACGGATCCATACAAAAATAAAATCTTCTGCAACAATCAATCTTCCTTTCTTAAAATCCATTAGCTTCCTTAATGTATCTTCCAAATAAACTGTTGGGTTCTTATTAGGACAGTAAATATTTTCCAATGTACATTCCAATTCATATAATTTCCCACTCAGAAACAAATATCGACCTTCTGGGTTGACCAACCTTTCTTCAATTTGATATCTCACATTCTTTGCGATCCCAATTGCTACTCCTTTAGCATGTTTTGTTGATGAATCAGCATAATACCAGGTCGGACAGTCTTTTGAGTATAACTTAACATTTGCATTATGAGATATATCTGTCTCTTGTAAAAATATTACTTCAATAGAACGTTGATAAATTTCCCTAAAAATCTTGTGTCTTTTACCCAGAGTATTCAATCCTTTCACATTATAGGTCATAAAATTAACTGAATTCATCCCTCCGCATTTCTTTTTTTTTTCACTATACATATCTAGGAGAGTACCCATATAACTAATTTGTAGCAAGAAGTTATATTCGAGGGAATCCGTTCTTACCCTCCCTCCCCACCCCTTCATCCCACCTCCCTCCCTCCCCTTGAATCTCATTATTCCCCCCCCCCACTTCCTCCCGACACCTCCCTCTAATCTTAAAACCTTTAGGCCAATTTCTAACCCTTGAATCAGTAGTGGCTCTAGTTCCACAGACGATTCTACTTTTGGTGTGAGACTCTGCGCACACACACCTACCGAACCTCCACTTCATTTGGGAGCATAATGGACATCCTAGCCCTCCGCCTGGTTACTACATTTCTCTTCTTACCCTCCTCTGTTCCTCTCTTTTTTACTCCTTTCCCCCCCTCCCATTCCCCACATCCGCTTGCACTTTTTTTACTTACTGCCTTATTCCTCTCTCCAGTCCCCCTGCTACCCTCTGCTCCACCATAAACTTCATCAGGGAAGAGAGGGAAAGGGTGAGAGTGGAGAGAGAAAAAAAAAAAGTCCCATATTTGAAGTCTCTGAAGTACAGTACATCATCTTGTTCTCTCCTCTTTTTCTCTTAATTCTATTACAACTTCTTGGGAACTAATTTCCAGTTCTCTGTTTCTAAGTCCAAGCTTTCTTTAGCTCCTTCTGACCAACCTGGGATATCCGGAATCTGTAGCTCTAATCTCTCACAAAAATCCCGGAAATGCTCTGGAAATCTCAATTTGACGGAACGTCCATTCTTCCAACCCACTAGACAGGCTGGAAAACCCCAGTTATATTGAACGTTTTTTTTCCTCATCTGCTCTAGTAATGGCCTCAGTGTTCTCCTTCTTGCCAAGGTTTCTGGTACTAAATCTGATAAAATTTGCAAGCTCGTTTCTCCATACTTTATTGCTGGAATCCCTTCTCACTGTCTTCCAGATGTATTCTATATCTTTATAATGATGAAATCGTACGAGCACATTCTGAGGGGTTTCCATTGTCATTCCTTGTGTATCCTATCAATTTTCAGTTGCTCTGTTTCTTTTGTCTCTATTTTCTTGATCTTTCATCTTATATAATAATTTACTTTGTTCCCATCGCATCTCATCCATTTGTCCTTCCAAATTACTTATCGCTTGAGCATGTTTGTCCAGTTTTCCTTCAGTTTCTTCCACTTGCAGTAACATCTGACCCAAATCATTATGTAGAACTGCCATATCTTTCTTTACTGATTGCTCTAATTTTGCAAACATCTCAGCTATTCCCATCTTTGTGGGCATTTACGAACCTGCTTCATGTTCCTCAACATTTTCTGTTTCCACATCACTCTCCATATTCAATATTTCCTTAACCTGATTCGGGTTTGATATCCCCAATGACAATCTAGTTTTATCACCAGTGTTTCTTGCTCCCATTTGTCTCCCTGGAGTTTGGCTCTCTGGACTTCTTTCTTGTGGGGGCATATATTTTTTAATTGTGCTTGTACTTGTTTGGGGTGTTTTTACCCCCCCCCCTTATTATAGATCTGCTCCAGATGATGTTGATATTTCTAGGTTTATACTTCTAGATGGGATGAGATAGTATCTCCACATAACTTCAATAAATAAATAAAATATATAATCCAATACAGGTGCTTTTTTTTTCTTCTTATCTGCAATATATTAGCTTTTCCTGGTCTCTCTTCTATTTTCACCCTCCAACTTCTTCTCCTTTATATGCACAGGGTAACCCCCCCCCCCCCCCCGATTGCTTTCTTTCTCTCTCTTCCTTTACTCTCCTTTTCCTCTTTATTCCACCTCCTCCTCTATAAGACTTTTTACCCTTAGTCCACTAGAAAGGCTTTTCCAACTCAGCTTCCACTTTTAATAATCACATATGGGCTTCAGGACTCCACCACCACCACCTTAGACGTTGGGTATGAGAAAAGAAAAAGAGAAGGAGAGGGGGGTCTGCCTCTGTGCTTCTCTGTGTCTACTCCGGACCTCCTCTCCTCTGACTGCATCTCCCAGGGTTCCCTGCGGCAGTCACCTGGCCACTCCCGGCATCCACCACTTCACTCCTCTGGGACTCGGTTTTCTCGTTCACTCTCGGAAACACACCAAGAAAGCTCCCTGCACAAGCATCAGCAAGCATGGAATAATTGGGGAAAGGAAACCACGTTACATCAGGGTCTCCCAGATAGCTTGGTGTGCGCCCGGAGCTCCTGTTATATGCTCCCTGTCGGTGCCATATTCAGGAACCCCAGCATTTGGTGATCTCAAAATGACCCCTATTTGGGGAGAATGTGACCTTGCCTGAGTTGAGATGCAGATTCTTCATCTACCTGACAACACTTTGCTGAAGCCCTCAAAAAACTCTGGAAACAATTGGAGAAGAAGGACTTGCAGGGGTGCGATGATGTAGGTGCCCTGGATAAGTTGTTGCAAACACCAGTTTATTGGAGTAGTGAGTGCTGGTCCCATTCAGCAGGCCTTGCAAGGATGAGTGAGAGCCCAACCTTCTCTTACATTTAATTACATAGTGGTGGAAATGGTGGCCCAGGAAAAGGAGATTGAAGAAGCCACAGTTGTGTATGTGAGAGAAGAGACCTTGGTTCCTTCCCCATTGCCAGCCCTGCAGACAGCCATATGGGAGTTAATGTAAAACATGACCTCAACACAGCAAGAAATGTCTACTGTTAATCAGGAGTTGGCCCAGTTCCCAAAGGACAGAAACACGCTGTGGAAAGATCCAGACATGGCCCAGACGTGCTGGCAGCGAAAATGCTACTGGCTCTGTACCATGTAACTGTTGTTATATGGTGTTTGTTTGTCCCTTCTTGAAAGGTTATGTTCTCACAAATATCTTTTTTAAATATATAATAAAGTTTTGTAAATTATTTTCAGAAAAGCTACTCTGCATGGGTATTATTGATTACCCACTATACACAGCCTATTCTCTACAGCTGTACTTTTTTGCTGTTTAGAATGCTACAGGCACATTGCCAGAGGTTGTGGTCACTCAAAGGGTAAAAATCCTCCTTGCCTGCCATTAAATTAGTGGTTCCCAAGGAGGGGGCATGGTCTCTAGGAACTGCCCACCAATATCCCAACAAGCAGGAATCCATGGTTGGTTCAAGCCCAGTAGTCACCGCTCTAGTGAACAGCCAGCTGGTCCCTTACTAATTTGACACTGGATCCAAAGTCACAATTATGAAATATAACTTTTAGATTCAACTGTGTGGGATTCTGGACCAGCTGGACCCATCATGGTTATCCTTGAAAGCAGTTAACAACTTGCCGACCATGGTAGAAGGGGTCACCTGGGTGAAGGTGAAAATATTCAGCCAGGTGGTGGTACAAGTGGGGGTCATAGTCACCCACAGTTCAGTTGTTTGCTCGTTACTCAGAGTCCTGGGCATGAATGTTTTGAAAAACTTGAACTTACCCCGCCTGCTAGCAGTCGAACATTGATTCAGGCCTTTGAAGCCTACCATAGGGCAAACCAACTACATATGCATTGTAAACATTGTACACACATTTGTATGCCAAAGCAAAAAACTGTTGCTAGCCCCTTGTCAGGAATGGACTTGCCAGTAATGGTGTGACTCACCTGCCTTGTGGGCTGCAGTACCAGGGCTGGCCAGCGGGTGCTTCCAGCAATCAGAGACTCAACCCTGTAGTCAGCCAAGACACCTGAGGCTGATTATAGGTGTGTATTTAAGGGATGGCCAGACCTGCAGTCTGTGCCTTGGTGTGTGTTTTTGCTATGGGCCCCCTGTATCTTGTTACCTGCATCCCTGTTCCTGTTCCTGTCCTGTCTGATTCATTGCCGACCCTGCCTGATCCGGACCTCTGCTGACTTCTCCTGTTTGATCCCTGGCTTGTGACCCCGACCATTCCTCTGCCTGACCCCCTGTACCTACCTGCCCGTTAGTTGCTGTACCCGGCTCGTGACCTGACTACTCTCTGCCTGCTCCTCCTGTTCCTACCTGCCCGATTGTTATTGACCCGGCCTGCCTGACGACGCTTGCATTGTATGTACTGTTATCTGTGGGTGGTTTGGTTCGTTTGCACTGTGTTATGTTTTAGTATTGCACTGCGTTTGTATTGTTAGTATTAATAAATTATATTGTTTATCACATATCTGAAGCCTGCGTTTCCCTGCGTCAGTTCACATACCTCTGGTCATACCCGGAGCCCTGACATTACACCAAGGCCAATCCTGACCAGAAGTGGCTGCACAGGGAAGCCATCTTGGCTTGTTGCTGGGAAGGATGGATACTGTCAGGAATGGACTTGCCAGTAATGGTGGGACTCACCTGCCTTGTGGGCTGCAGTACCAGGGCTGGTCAGACTTGTTGCACCCAGCCTCAGTCAGCTTGCAACGTCATTCCTCCGCTCAAGGCACTCTTCCTACATCCCCGACAGCACCCTCAGTGACTGCCCAGTATACTCTAACTACCACATACCAGTCCTCTGCTTCCACTCGCTGCACCTATCCTTTCTTTAAAACTGTAAAGAAGTCCTCTGTAGCAACTGCTCCCTCCTCTGTTCCATCTTCCAGCTCTTCTCTGTCCTCAGCTGCTCCATTCGTTTGCAGACCTGCGTTTACTTGCAGTGCTCCAGTAGTTAAAACCAGAAAAAAGCGAAAATTCTTTCCAACCAGTACCATCCTGCCAGTATCCAAACCGGAGAGCCTGCTGTCTGAGAACCTGCCTTCCGTGGTTCAGCCTGGTGCCTCGGCACCCGCACTTCAGCCTGATGTCTCTACCCAGCCTGATGTCTGTACCCAGCCTGATGAACTGATCCAGCCTGATGATCCTATCACGCCTAAAGACCCAGTGCCCGCTGTCATACCTGGTGACCCGATGCCCGCTGTCGAGCCAGACGATCCAATGCCTGATGACCCAGTGCCCGCTGTCATGCCTGGTGGCCCGATGCCCGCTGTGGAGCCAAACGATCCGGTACCTGATGACCCGGTGCCCGCTGTCGTGCCAATTGATTCAGAGCCCACTGTCGTGCCTGGTGACTCGGTGCCCACTGCCTTGCCAGATGACGCGGTGCCCGCTGGTGAGCCAAATGACCTGATGCCTGGTGACCCAGTGCCCGCTGTCATACCTGGTGACTCGATGCCCGCTGTCGAGCCAGACAATCCAATGCCTGATGACCCAGTGCCCGCTGTCATGCCTGGTGACCCGATGCCCGCTGTCGAGCCAGACGATCCAATGCCTGATGACCCAGTGCCCGCTGTCATGCCTGGTGACCCGATGCCCACTGTCGAGCCAGACGATACAGCGCCAGATGACCCGGTGCCTGCTGTCGAGCCAAACGATCCGGTACCTGATGACCCGATGCCCATTGTCGTGCCAATTGACTCTGAGCCCACTGTCGTGCCTGGTGACTCGGTGCCCACTGCCTTGCCAGATGACGCGGTGCCCACTGTCGAGCCAAATGACCTGATGCCTGGTGACCCGATGCCCGCTGTCGAGCCAGACGATCCAATGTCTGACCCAGTGCCCGCGGTCATGCCAGTTGACTCGGAACCCACTGTCGTGCCTGGTGACTCGGTGCCCACTGCCTTGCCAGATGACGCGGTGCCCGCTGGCGAGCCAAATGACCTGATGCCTGGTGACCCGATGCCCGCTGTCGTGCCTGACGACCCGGTGCCCGCCACTCCGCCAGGGGGCCCAGCGCCCGCCGCTCCGCCCGGGGGCCCGGCGGCGCCTGCCGCTCCGCCTGGGGGCCCGGCGCCCGCCACTCTGCCTGGGGGCCCGGCGCCTGCTGCCCCGCCTGGGGGCCCGGCGCCCGCTCTGCCCGGGGGCCCGGCGCCCGCCGCTCTGCCCGGGGGCCCGCAACTCCACCCGGGGCCCGGCGCCCGCCGCTCCGCCTGGGGGCCCGGCACCCGCCGCTCCCCTGGGGGCCTGATGACTGCCGCTCCGCCCTGGGGGCCCGGCACCTGCCGCCCCTCCTGGGGGCCCAGTGCCCGCCGCTCCGCCTGAGGGCCCGGTGCCTGCCGCCCTGCCTGGGGGCCCAGTGCCTGCCGCTCCTCCTGGGGCCCTGTGCCTCTGCCCGGAGTCCATCCCGATGTGCCGCTGCCCGGAGTCCAGCCCAATGTGCCTCTGCCCGGAGTCCTGCCCGATGTGCCGCTGCCCGGAGTCCAGCCCGATGTGCCACTGCCCGGAGTCCAGCCCGATGTGCCCTGTGCCCCGATGTGCCGCTGCCCGGAGTCCAGCCCGATGTGCCGCTGCCCGGACTCCAGCCCAATGTGCCTCTGCCCGGAGTCCAGCCCGATGTGCCAGTCTTTGATATCCCGCCAGTTACCAGACCCGGGCGGTGGAACATTTTGCCCAGCTAGGACTGTTTGGAGCGTCCTGAGGCCGCTCCTTGAGGGGGGGTACTGTCAGGAATGGACTTGCCAGTAATGGTGGGACTCACCTGCCTTGTGGGCTGCAGTACCAGGGCTGGCCAGCGGGTGCTCCCAGCAATCAGAGACTCAACCCTGTAGTCAGCCAAGACACCTGAGGCTGATTAAAGGTGTATTTAAGGGATGGCCAGACCTGCAGTCTGTGCCTTGGTGTGTGTTTTGCTATGGGCCCCTGTATCTTGTTACCTGCATCCCTGTTCCTGTTCCTGTTTGACTGATTCGTTGCCGACCCTGCCTGATCCGGACCTCTGCTGACTTCTCCTGTTTGATCCCTGGCTTGTGACCCCGACCATTCTCTGCCTGACCCCCTGTACCTACCTGCCCGTTAGTTGCTGTACCCGGCTCGTGACCTGACTACTCTCTGCCTGCTCCTCCTGTTCCTACCTGCCCAATTGTTATTGACCCGGCCTGCCTGACGACGCTTGCATTGTATGTACTGTTATCTGTGGGTGGTTTGGTTCGTTTGCACTGTGTTATGTTTTAGTATTACACTACGTTTGTATTGTTAGTATTAATAAATTATATTGTTTATCACATATCTGAAGCCTGCGTTTCCCTGCGTCAGTTCACATGCCTCTGGTCATACCCGGAGCCCTGACACCCCTCTTTAAGAAGTAGTCTTGTTCCTGCTCGTAGGGGCTCACAAAAAGTTAAAAGGGGCTACAGTCATGGTGGAGCACTACAAGGTTCTTGAGGGCCTTGAGGTTCCAGGAAATTGGTTTACGGCTCGCACCTCGCCCAGAGTTCATTGGGGTAGGGTGCTAGTTTAGCTAATCAACTAGGGAACCACCCCCATACAGTTACCTAACCACAAGATTCTTGCAGACCTCTACGTGGTGCCAAAGCACTGCATTATGGGGTCCAAGTCAGCAGTCAAAGCTATTTGTGCCATGGCCTCTGTGCACATTGAACAGTACTAACAGTTGCTGGACCAGTTGGCCATACCCTTCCAGGAGTATCCACTTCCCCAACAGAGCCTCCTCCATCAGATGTTGGAGAAATACCTGTTAGTCTTTGCAGCTGGTCCCAAAAATTATGGTTGCACCGAGGCCATAGACCATCCAATACATACGGGGAGTACGCCCCCTATTTGGGACAGATACCACCTGCCCTGCGCCAAGAGGTTAAAGATATGATCCGCTATATATTGCAAAGGGGGATGATCAAGGAGAGTCACAGTCCACGAGGAGCCCCCGCTGTCCCAGAGTGCAAAAAAGATGACAGTTTGTACTTCTGTGTGGACTATTGCAAGCTTAACGCCTGAATCTGCCAAGATGCCTACCCGCTGCCCAGGGTAGAGGAATCACTAATGGCTTTAGGCCAGGCCCATTACTTTTCCACTTTCAACTTGGCTAGTGGGTACTGGCAGGTCCCAGTGAGGGAGTAGGACTAAGAGAAAACAGCCTTTATCATCAACTATTTTTTATTTATAATTTTCCAATAGAATTCCTTATTGAGGTTTCCTTTATCAAGCCTGTAGGCATTGAATGCATCTGGCTCATATGCTCAATGCAAATTAGAAAGGTGGGTAAATATCCGTTCCCCTGTATACTTGCTTTTATAAATATATAAATATGGTATTTATACATTTTATTTTTCATGAGCCAGATTCTATATAGTGGCTCCAGTGATGAAAATTGTGGGTGCTCATCATAGGTTCTCTCTCCCCCCTCTCTCCATCTGGTTCTCCTGGGGGAGAGCCCTACCTGGTTGATCCGGCAGAATAGCATGAATATTATTTAAATTTGGATTATGTTTGCGACTATACACATACCTGTTGACAACACATATGAAGGTCAGTGTCTATGTGAATAGAAAATATTCTGTATTTATATAACTGAAATTTGTTATTATTACAATGTTTTTTGAATATAGTACACGTTGAAATGCATAGAGAGCACCCCTGAGGAAGAAGGAGACTTTGAAACGCATCTTGTGTTGTATATTTGTAGAATTTCTATGCAGTTTTGAACTCTTTGGCTTTATTGTATAGCTTTGTAGATGAGCAAATTGATACTTGTAGCTGCAAAAAGAGTATCATATTAGTTTTTAACACATTTTAACATAAAAGATTTGTATGAATAAAGTATTTGTATTTTATATTAATTTTTGGTTGTTGTTGTTGTAGCCTTTAAAAGTCCCAATTAATAGAGGAGTTTCTTGGTCTTACGTATATATTTAGGGATGTTGGCTACCCATTAAGCACCATAGTCCTTTTCAATTATCTTTCTGTGATCACCATCTCCTTTGGACACAGCTGATCACATGACATGGTAAAGGGCCAATCACAGCTGCCTTTTACCATGTGATCACCATATAAACACACTTGCTAGTTATCGGCAGTACTTTCCTCACGCTATCACAGCATGAGGAAAGTACTGCTGATAACCGGCAAGTGTGAAAGGAGGCATCTACACTTATAATCAGGGCACTGATTATCAGTGCAGCCCCAAAAGTGTCCATCAGTGCCCAACAGTGCTACCAATCTGTGCCCATCAGTGCCACCAGTCAGTGTCACCTATCAGTGCCCTTCAGTGCTGCCTATCAGTGCCCATCAGTGCCATATATCAGTGCAGCCTCATCAGTGCCTCCTCATCAATGCCCACCAGTGTCGCCGCATCAGTGCCCATCAGTGCTGCTGCCTATCAGCACCCATTAGTGCTACCTATCAGTGCCCAATACTGCAGCCTCATCAATACACATCTGTGAATTAGAAAAATTAACTGCCTGCAAAATTTTATAATAGAAGCTAAGCAAAATGTTTATTTTTTTTGTTTGTTTATAAGAAAATAAAACACCCAGTGGTGATTGAATACTGTAGAACTACCCCCATAGGGGTTGTTGATGAACTTGGGTCCCCCTATAGTCCTGCACAGCTGGTCATTTAGCATTGTTCAACCCAAGCTCCTATCGGTAGACAGAAATCGGGTGTATAGGATGCCCAAGGGAACTGATATCTGAGGAAAGCTTCCTGAACTATTCACATCTTTTCTCCTCTGTCACAGGCTCTGTTGGAGTGCTAGTCAGCAGCTCCAGTTGTACTGCCCCAGACCCTAAATGAAGTCCTCTTCACCCAGCAATATGGAGACATTTTGCTGAGCAGGGGATCTGGATCCTTTTGAACTTTTTTGAAAAGTCACTTGAAGGGGGTTTCCCACCAGAGTGCTCCTTCCCCTATCCGGCCAAGTTTGTGCAAGTGTATCCTCTCCTGTACCGCCTGAGGGATGGTTGCCACTACCAGGCCTATCAGCTGGGCTGCTCCTTCCCTTGCTAAAGGGGGCTTCCATATTCCGATAACCCCCCGCCCGCAGACCCCCACAACCTCAGCCCAGGGTTGTAGGGAAGAGGCCCTTGTCCCCATCAACATTGGGACAAGGTGCTTTGGGGGGGAGCTCACCCTACCCCAAAGCACCCCCCCATGTTGAGGACATGTGGCCTGGTATGGTTCAGGGGGGGGAGCGCGCTTGCTCGCCCCCTCCTTTCCTGACCTGCTGAGTTGCATGCTCGGATAAGGGTCTGGTATGGATTTTGGGGGGGAACCCCACGCCTTTTTGTTTTAAATTTAGGCGTGGGGCTTCCCCTCAAAATCCATACCAGACCCGAAGGGCTTGGTATGGATGAGGGGGGGACCCCAGGCCGTTTTTTTAAAATTATTTTTTAATTGCTGGCAAGTCTTTCTTTTACATTCAGTTGTCAGTGGGAACCCCTCTGACAGCTGAAACATGATGCATGCTTTTCACTACTAAAAGTCCGCATGACTTGATAAAATAACTCATGCGGTATTTTAGCAGCCTTTTTGAGTGGATTCAAATGTTTTTTTTTTTTAAAATGCTATGCGGTATCCTACTGCATACTCGGATGCGGTGGGATACCTCTTAGTGAATTGTGCCCTGGATATGGACCAGTCAAAAAACGCTTCTAAA